AAAATATAATGAATAATATAGGGAATAAATGAATAAAAAGAGGGAAGGGAAGGAAGGGCTGATGCCAGCTGGGGTGTCATTAGGTGGCAGGCGTGGGGTGGCACAGCCCAGGGAGGGAGGGGAGAGATTTCCTTTTCTCCCCCGAGAAACCCTTATTTCCTTCCACCGCAATTACTGTCAAGGCTCGACGGGAGCTCCAGCGCGGATGTCTGCAGCCAGTGCCGGCGCGGGCGAGAAACTTAAAATAGGACATCGGAGAATTTGCATTGGAGCATTTGCAACGCGGAAATATCTCTGCCCTGGGAAGGCTGGATTTGAGCGGGTTTGGTATTTTTTCATTTTTAAAGATGTGATCAAAATCACATGGAATGAAGAACAACGAAGGATAGGCACAGCCTGGGACTGTCACCGGAGCCTCAGCCTCACCCCTCAGCTCGGCTTTTGTCCTCTGGGGAGAAGGGGAACAGGCTAAATCAGCCAGTTTGGGGCCAAAACAAGAGGCTCTGTTGGCTGTTCTGGGAAGGGAGATGCAGGCAGGGCCACCAACGTGGGGGGTCTGTCTTGGAGTGCTGGGAGCTGCAAGGGTAGGATGCGGGAGGAGCAGGTTCCCACATCCCAGCCTTTGGGGCGAGAGCTGCTTCCACCCAAGGAAGCACAAATATTTTCCATTTCCATGTTGATGCTAAGAGGGTTAATGTTTGTGATGGTGATTTTTGGCCCAATAAATAGCCTGTGTTGGCATCACTAGCCAGAGGTGGGTTTCAGCTTCTTTGTGAAATGAAAGAGGGAGCAAGGTGGGACCGAGGCAGCTGGTAAAGGACAGAAGGACCCCATGGGGGTGGTTTCCTGCCCCAGCTCTGACCCACAGCAAGGGGAGAAGGTGCAGCGGGCGGTGGATGGGGCTGGCAGCTCCCCACAAGGCAGCCTTTCTCCATAGCAGAGGTGTCCCAGCCCTTGGACCGTTTCAGTGGCCTCCTCTGGACCTGCTCTACCAGGTCCATGTCTGTCTTGTGCTGGGGACCCCAGAGCTGGACGCGGTGCTCCAGGGGGGTCTGAGTAGAGCGGAGCAGTGGGGAGCATCCCCTCCCTCGACCTGCTGGCCACGCTGCTGGTGATGCAGCCCAGGAGACGCTTGGCTTTCTGGGCTGCAAGCGCACATTGCCGGCTGATGTCCCATCTTCCACTCACCAGTATCCCCCCATCCTTCTCGTCAGGGTTGCTGTCCATCCATCCATCCATCCATACACCCATCCATCCATCCCCCACTCTGTGCTGGTACTGGGGGTTGCCCTGACCCAGGTGCAGGACCTTGCGCTTGGCCTGGTTGAAATTCATGCGGTCAGCAGCCTGTCCAGGTCCCTCTGGATGCCACCCCTTCCCTCCAGCAAATCGACTGCACCACTCAGCTTGGTGGAAGACCAAAACTGGTGTATCTTGGGTGACGCAGAGACCAGAGAAACGCAGAGCC